CGTGGAACGTTTAATTTTATCTTTGGTGGATGATCAGTGTTCCAACTGTGACAGCACCCAGCCTACTTTTGTCTGCCAGACCGTGACAAAAGCAGTTTTTGAAGCTCTCTCCCTGCCTGAGGCTGGACTACTGTTTTTGTCCACAGTTGCTGTTTGATTGTAGATTTTGATTGTTGAAGATCACTCAGACTGAGCAGAGTTGTTTAGGATGCAGACTACTGGCAGAGCGAGCAAGAAGTTGTGGCCTGGGAAAGGCCACTCCAGGCAGCCAAAGCTGCTGGAACCAAAAATGAGTTTCAAAAGGGAGAAAAGAGAGCGGGCTCTCCGTTGGATGGGCATTTACTCAGTACTGGTGGACAACTCGGCCTGAACAGCATGGCTTGCATGTGTTAGTATCAGTGTGAAATGTTTGTATATCTGTATGTACCACCACCATAAGCACAATGTTGTTAGCTTAATACAACGGGAAAATAACAGCTTTAAGTTCATTGTATTTGAGTAAAATACATTTATTTTAATCTCAGTTGCTTACAACCATGCAAAATATGTTCAAAGTCTGCCTAAAAATGAGACATACTATCAACCTTTTCTAGAGTGAATGTTGCTCTGAAGTCCCATCACTCTACCTACAGGATATAAGAGACAAAGACACATTAACCCTTTCCTACTGAAGGTAAGACAAGTTAAACATCCTGTCATCATCCTCTGTGCCGGCAGGTCTTTTCACCACGTATCTTTGCTCTCTGTGGTTAGAGGGAAAAACATGAATGGGGACTTTAGACAATAAAGTGTCTTAACATGTTGCTGCAGATGGAAAGAGCCCCACAAGCCTGGAGGTGAAGGTATATCTTTCACATGCAAACAATGCATGGCAGCTGTTGAGAGCAGAGTTTCATCACTGACTAATGCCTCTGTTGTTGTGAGTTCCTGTTTGCAGTGAAGCTGTCTGGCATGCCTGCAGCATTCTGGCAGAGTGACCGCTTTGTAGAAAAGTCTTTGCCATGTTAGATGTGAGAAAGTATCCAAACGCAGCTTAAATTGTGAACTGATTAAGATTTTAGTCAAAATAAGTTATATATTTATTGTCAAAAGCTTATATGATTAGACTGACATACAGATTTGTCATAGACTGTCCAGCATATAAATCAAACTTCACATTAAAAACGTGTATATGGCAGAAACCTTTTGCATTGATCCAACATGTGGGATTAACATGATAGTGCTAAATGGTAAAATATTGTTCACACAGCATTCCATTACAGCCTGAACTGATTATCAAACAAACAATTTTACAATGTTTTAGTTTACACTGCTGCTTCATCTTTACTAATGAAATTGTGTGAATGACAGAATGTGCTCCAGTAACTATCCGGACAGGACTGTTTTTTAGTCTTTGGAAAGTTTGATTCCATCCAGTTTATTTATAAAACACCAAATCACAATGGATGTGATATCTTGATACCTCACGGACATTGTCAAATTCAAACCAGTTAGAGTCCATTTAATTCAAATGCAATCAAAAAACAATCAGTTCCAATTAATTAAATTTCAAATTTGTTGCACAGTAATTTAACTGATCCAATCCACTGTTCTGAGGGTGTATGAAGAGACTGTGGAAGGAAATATTCTCTTTTTACAGGTAGAAGTCTCCCTCAGAAGCAGAGCCAGTGTTTGAGGCCCTCCTGCTTGTCCCAGCAGCGGTGCACCTAAACACAACCCCAAATGAAACATTCCCTTAAGCAGTTCCTGATTCCAGATCAGTTCTGACAAGAAACTGTTGTGAAAGTGTCACTTTCTGTATGAAAGAAAATAACAATTTTTCTCTGGATGTTGTTTTGGGCCATAGACTGTTAAAAAAAAAACTTAAATTAGGTGAGCATCTGTGATTAATGGGTTGTTATTTGCACATTAATGATCCGTCTATACACTTTTTGACAAAAACAGGTTGGACTATAGGGACTTATTATGTATTTTTGCGGATGCAGTGGTGAGTGGCTCTAGTTGTCTGACTGTCTCCCGGTTGAGAACTCTGGGAGTCCAGTCTTCTCCAGATGTTTCCGTGGTTTGGCATTCTGAGCAGATGTTTTAGTATGTCCTGAATCATTCTGCTGTCTGGTGTAACGTTTGCACGTGCAGGACGTCACCACAGTTATTTTGTAGGTCCTGGAGCTGCCATCACGACACTGAAGCCGGATCCGTTGGGTCCTGGTCCGGTCGATGACACACCGCCACTCCTGAGCATCGCGCCGGCTCCAGTATCTCCCAGAGTAACCACTACTCCCGATCCAGTTGGGGAGCAGGTGGGCTGGCAGACACTCTCCTGCACACACCAGCTCCTTGATGGGGTTGACACTGGTGCACTGACCATCAGAGATGTATTTGGTGGACCTCAGCTCCCTGCAGCCCACCTGACTCTGATCTGGACCTGAAAGATGGAAACTCAGTGCCATAATACTCATCTAAAATATCTCCAATAGAGGTGCGGTGACAGAATGACATTTTTGCTCATTAAGCAGTTTCACATCGAGCCACTGACATTAGAAACTCTTGCAGACCCCTAAAGTTTTGGGTTGAGGGGTATCCATTTTTTTAAAAAGGTTATCACCCTCACACCGACAGCTCCTGAGCACTGTTGTCCTCTTTAGTAGCTGACCACTTCAAGTTGAGCTGATAGCTTTGAACAGGCTGATCTCTCTTGTCTGTTTCAGGATTAAGAACTAAAACCTATTCAAATGAACACCGAGACCATAAGTTGTGTCTCTCTGAGGGGAATCCACGCCTGCTGTATTGACTTGATTTGCTGTATTTCACTATCAAACTTTTTTCTTCCCCTCATCCTTCCTTACTCTTATTATTAACAAAGTTTACTTCTGTTGAAATAAGTCTGAAAGTTCAGATAATGAAGCTGCCCTACCCAACTCTACCCTTACAGACAGTAGCGCTCAGGGGAATCAATAAGCATGCGTGACCATTTGGACTCACCGTGACGCGCAGCCTCAACCGGACGTCTCCCCCCATTCCTGGCCTGATTGATGTCCTCTTCAGCTGGCTGGTCCTGAGTGTCCAGCGCGGGCTGCAGGCTCACGGACTCTGTGGCGTTGTTGTGAACAGCGGAGCTGCTCTGGTGCAGCAGCAGCAGCAGGAGGACCAGCTGCCGGGGGGCTCTGGCTGGATGGAGCATGATGACACCAGACTGACAGTCTCACACCTGATGATCACCAACCTGCAGCAGGTGTCCTTTTTATGTCCTCAGCTCCAAAGAACTGGACACACCCACATGCACACAGCGTGTGTGACTTCATTAGTTTGTCTGAGCACGTTGTGCTTGAAGAGTTCCTGCGTATCACATCTCAACTGACACTCATCTAAACAGGGAGCCACACAGGACATTTAAGCCTTTCATGAAAACTCGCCAAAGTCAAATGTACTTGTATGTGTCATTGCTGCGTTCATCAGACAGGGTTGGATGCCCCTTCCACAGGCTGAAAGTCTGTGGAAAAGCCTCTCCATGTGGCAGAAGCTGCTTGCTTTTATTGGTTTGAACAGGAATGAATAAAAGAAAAACAACCAAGCTTTTAGAAGTCTAGCCTGAGCTAGCTGCAATATAGATTGAAAAGACTATATATTTCATTGAAAATATTCAAATAGATTGAAAAAGAAAAAAAAAGAATTAGAGGCAGGAAGACACAGAATAAATGTAAACAGGTTTATTAACAATATGATGAAGTTAGAATGCTCTTTGATGAGTCAGACAGGTACGGGCTCCAGGTGAGATGGTGTTTTCATGATCAAAGAGTTGAGGGCTTTAAACACAGTTTGGTATAAATCTCTCTCGCAGTTATACTGCCGATAATCAGTCATGTCTATCTCTGAAACAGAGTGGAACTCATCAGCTGTTAAACTTTAAACACCTATTAAGAACAGAAAGAGGAAGTGAAGTTGTTTCTTTGGACCTGGGCATCTCAGGGAGAAACTGTTTAGTCAGATCTTTACTCAGTGTTTCCCAAACTTTTTTCTTTGGACCCGAATTGGCTAAATCCTCACGACCCAGATTATATTAGGCCTAGTTTCCTAAGAAGTGAAGTGCAGTTACAAACATTTATAGACATTTTTATTGCCAGTTTAGTCCATCCAGCTATTGTCCGTAGTGCTTATTCCTAGTAGGCTGTGGGGGGCTGGAGCCTATCCCGGCTGACACTGACTCAGAGGTTGGTACAATGTGGACAGTTTGCCAGTAAAGTATCATCCTGAAATACCCGTTTTAAAGTGATATATATTTGACTTTTTGAGTATCTATATTTAGTATTTACTGAAAAGCGAAAAGGTGAAAAAATGCATCTCAAAAGTGTGTACAGAGGACCCCACCGATTTCAAATTCTCAACAGTACAATGCAATGTACACACAATGGACTTAATAGGTTGTTTTTTACCCTATCATCAATAAAAACAAACAGCAGGAATGCAAGATTCATTCAGCGCTCTGCACATATTTGAGAAAAATGTGTACATTGGATGCTATCAAAACCATCTTAATGTGTATAATATGAATAATATAACATACAAAGAAACCTAACCCTTACCCTAACCCTGGATCTTGAATAGAGAATAACCAATCTCCTCATATTTAGGATCTTTCTTCCACCGCTAACTCTAACCCTAACCTTTCTCTAAATCATTTGTATATTTGGACTAAAAATGTCCCTTTCTGTCACATATCTTAAACTGTTTTTCTTGTTCTATATGTATTTGATTGTTAAGCAAACAATCCCCGGAAATAATTCCCTGTGTGTCTTCCTACTTTGCAACAAAACTGACACGTTCTTTGACACGGAGACATGCTGTGGCGGGATTACAGCGCCCCACGCGGTCCCAGAGCTCGTTAATCAAAAGAGGAGCAAACACGTGACTGGTCCCTTGCACAGTGATTGGAGGGGGCATAGCAGCAGCCTCCAATTGTAGAGAGGAAGTTGGAGGGTTTTCCGCTTGGCCTGTGGGGGCGCTGCAGTCTGCGGCCTTCCTTCGCTTCTCCCCGGTACACGTCATGCAAACAGCAACGTTCATGCTCTGAGCATGCGCAGTGTTGAATCCTTCGCAATTGTGTCTTGAAGAGGACTGTACGGTAATGGTCTGGCGGTGTCACTTCTGTCTTCTGCTATTGTGTTTTTCCTTTCAAGTTATTTAACAATAGGTAAAAAAGATGTTTCGCGTTCATCTAGGTTGTGAGCAGAAATCTTTGTATTAATTTTGTCTCGGAGTTTGAATGTAGACAAGTGCCTTGTCTAGTTCTGGTCCACGTAAGCGGGCAGGACCAAAGGCTTTCTATGTATGCTGCTGTATCTTTGAGGAATTTGATCGCTAACCCTGTGTTTCAGTCGACACTTCAACATTTATCCCGTCTGGCCTATTTAAAACATTTGCACACTTTCTCAGCGTTCCCCGGTCGGACAGGCTGAGCCGAGCAGAACTCGTACTATCTCTGTGTGTAATAGTGCCCTTTCTCCAGATGGCCATGATGCTCCGCGCCTGTGTGCTGCTAGCTGTCCTGGTCCTGGGCTCAGGAGAGGAAGGAGCCCGGCTGCTGGCCTCTAAATCCCTACTGAACCGCTACGCAGTGGAGGGCCGAGACCTGACCCTGCAGTATAACATCTACAACGTCGGTTCCAGGTGAGTGTCCGACGCCATGACGGAAGCTGGGAAGTTGCAGGGCTGGTGTGTAGCAAGCTTTACATGGGACTGTTATCGGGCTTTTTCCATTTGTACCTGTTCAGGCCTACCCGGCTGTCCTCGGTTTAGATGGGTTTTCTATTCCATGTCCATCACATTATATGCAACTTGGCATCCCGGCCTGTGACGTCATTTTTAGGCGACAAAAGTGCAGTTAATTTGTAGAACAAAATTTCATATTCAAGCGAATTCTAACTGCTTTACAGCTATGTAAAGTATCAAAATGTAACAAAAATGACGTAAAACATTAAAATAACTAAATTAAATTGAAAACTAATGGATCAAATGTTTAAATAAAATTGAATTGCATAGCAACAACAAACGGCTGAACCTTGATGTTGGTTCACGGATTTGGAATGAGTGTCCATCACAGAAATTCTGAAATTAAATGTTTTTAAACTGAATGAAGTTCACGAAATGGGTATGCTCAATGAGTCACATGACTCGTCAGCAAACATGAGTCAAACATTTTAATTTAAACAGAACTAGCAATATTTTTTCAAACATTCCATGATTGTTTGCACGTATTTATGTGCACATATACAAAATAGCAATGGGCACAAGTTAGCAAGAATAAAGCAGGATAATACATGTTTGAAGGTTTACTAGCTCGTATAAAAAAATTTTTTTTTAATAATGCACAAGGTATTGACCATGCACAGGGCATGATATTCAACAAGTGCACGATATATTATATTATTAGGCATAGTTGCGGCAGCTTGAGGCATTAATGTGCAGAATGCAGACAGCTGTGTGGCGTAAATAGTCTATGTGGATCTCTTAATTGATCACTAGACTACTTGCATCACTACAGCCCTGACCCCAGAAGCTGCTGTCTGAGTAACGGCTAGCGGCCAGGCTAGCTCGGTTAGCATCACAGACTGGGTTTGGGTCTGTGATGCTGTTTGCTATGGTGGGCCTCTGCTGTCCCATTGACTGGATGTAAAGGAAGACGGTTGAAGACAGTTAGATACTCTGAGCAGGTCTGGATTCCTCTCCTGTCTGCAGCATGCTGATGTGGAAAGAACTGTGTGTAACCTGTTTTTTTCTGTCTCCACAGTGCTGCCCTGGAGGTAGAATTGTCTGACGATTCGTTTCCTCCTGAAGACTTTGGAATTGTGTCAGGGATGTTGAATGTAAAATGGGACAGGATAGCACCGTATCCTTTACTCTAATGTACAAACTGTGCAGCTTTGTTTGGTGCATTGATGGTAGTTTGATGGCAGAAATGAGCCCAATTGGAGGTTTTAGATCACAGGAGGGAACTGCTGCAGGCTCTAGAGACGCATTATCCCCTAGTATAGTGGTGGTGCGCCGAACTATTAAATGCCAGCATCTGCAAGCTCGTTGGGTAAAGAGAGGATGAAGTCATCACTATGAGTGTATGTTACAGCACCAGGTGACAGCTGTCCTGTTAGACTGAGCCAGCACAGATCGCCATACTTCTTTAACGGTGAAACTCAGAGCCAGCAATGTCTCTCACACGGTGGTGCTGCGGCCCCTGAAGGCTGGATACTTCAACTTCACCTCTGCCTCTGTTAGCTATCTGGCCCAAGAGGGCGGACAAGTCGTGGTAAGAGGCGCTGCTCCTGTCTGTGGGTGAAAGTTCTGAGTTGAGTGAAGCTGATCCTTCTCCTGTGTTCTTGCAGGTGGGCTATACCAGTGCCCCAGGTCAGGGTGGCATCCTGGCTCAGAGGGAGTTTGACCGGCGCTTCTCTCCACACTATGTGAGTCATTTGGGCTCTGAAATGACCTTCAAACTAAGGCAGCCTTCAATCTAAACTTTTGAATACTGTTTTGTTGTGCAGAGAGAACACAGGACTGCTAGTGAGCTTACAGTATGATGGGCCGGGTTGACTTTAACATGTCGTCTTTTTAAAATGCTAAAGTACTGCATTGGTTCTGAATTTCCGTTAGTATCAAATGTGAATGAATTCTTGGCTGACTTTAGCATTTGCCTAAGGGGTTGATTGTGCCCATCATACTGACTTCATGTTTAATCTGCTCCTGGTATCTGACTGTTCCACGCCTTCCTTCTCTAGCTGGACTGGGCTGCGTTTGGTGTGATGACTCTGCCCTCTATTGGCATCCCTCTGCTTCTCTGGTACTCCAGCAAGAGGAAGTATGACTCACCAAAGGCCAAGAAGAACTGAGGAGCTCTGACAGGGTCTGAAGCTCAGAGAAAGAAGAAAGAGGCTTCGGGTGGCGGGGGGAGATCTCAGAAGGGCTTAATGACCCATATTGGGAGTGTAAGTGGTTACCAAGGATTATGATTTGATCAAAAAGCAGGATGGTTAGTGAACATAAGTTTTGTGGCTGCTGTTCATTCCCTCACATCTGCGGGAAGGCTCATGTGACAGAGCGTGATGCCTGCAATTACTGCTCTTACAGCTGTCTGGAACCTTCCTGACCTGAATCCAGATGTGAAAAATGTAGCCGGTTGTTAAAACTTCAAATTACATCAATAAACTTTTTTTTGTTTTTGTAATATGTACCTGCCTTTTTCATTCGGTTCACATCTGCCTTGTATTACATGGAACCATAGAAAATGATGGTGTCTTCATGCAACACTGCTAACCAATGTGGCCCTTCAGCTTCCTGTGTTTGTCGATCATCTGATCATTCCAATATTCAAACCATCTTTTTATCATTCGCCTTCAGGGTTTATTTAGTATTTATTAAGTATTACTTTTATGACCAAAGAGTACCTGGAGATTACAAACATCTACACCAAATAAGCTCCTGAATGTTTTTTTCTTAGTTGATGGCAAATGAAAATAATTTCCAAAGACGGAGCAACAGCCTGTGAGAGCAGTCTGGCATAGCTCTGCCTGGTTTGTCAGCTCAGTTACCCACTTCCCCTCCCAAGACAGATTCCCACTAGGAATCGCTCTCCGTGTGTGGAAATATTTGAGTTTAAATGAGTTTAAAACCTGGACAAGCAGCAGCAATCATTTTCTCCTCCCCTCAGTAACGGCAGAGCATCTGGTCCCTGCACCTGACTTCACTTCCTGACCAGTAGCCTGCATTCTGTAAATGGCTTAAATTGACTGGCATGACCCTGAAAGAGCAGGTCCTACAATTTGAACTTGAGTCAAATCCAGTCAAGTAGAGTAAGTGCTGGAGACAGTTTAAAACATTGCCTTCTAGTATCTGCAGTTTGTGTCACCAATACAAGATGATCTGCTTCTTATGCATCAGCAGGCTTATGCGTACGTCTGAGGTAAACGGCGTGCACAAAGTCTCCAACATGTTCACTTCCCTTCCGTAGACCATCCCTTAGTCCTGGTTATCCTTTTTAAGCTGCTTGCTCTTTTGCCTATTAAAATATTTCATCTAGTCAATGAACATTATTTATGACTCAGCTGAGTCAGTCTCTGATTGGGGTCGCCCCAACCTGTCCAAAGATTACTGGTTTCTTCACATCTCAGCTTTAGGGCCCAATAATCTGGACAGGACAAGTCTTAAAGTTTCCAGTGACCTTTTATTTGTCTCGATTGTAGAGTTTCAATTATATTCCCACAAAATGAACTTCTTCAGTAGATGTTGTGCATATCTGAACACAAATACAAGCTGAAATGAATACAATGGTGCTTTATCGAAATGAATGAATAAATCATCTAAGCAAAAACTTTAATAATCATTTCAATGGAGGTGATATTCACCAATGTAAATGTAACAGCATTGGTAGACCTTCAAAACACTTCAGATGACATGATTACACTCATTCAAAACACAAAAATTCCAGGAAGAATTTTGGAAGACATGAACAGTTAGGACCTTCAGCAGTAAGAAACATTGGACAAAATAGTCAAAACCCACGTATAGTGTCTCTGCACATCACTCAGCACTCTCTGTCCCTCCCACACACGCGCACGCACACACACACACACACTAACGGCTGTTGATGCTGGGTCTTAATTCAATCTTTCATTTCTAAGCTTGGAAAGAGTCCTTAGGAGGAGAAGAATCAAGTTCAGCTTCTACGCAACATGGACAAAAGGTCTGACTGTTAAAAGTGATTTTCACTCAAAGCAGCCGCAGAATTTCTGAAACTGACTGATGAGAAGTGTTCTACGTCACATGTTATTCATGGAAGACTTGTACTTAAAATAGATTTGACTTTTGTATAGGAAATATAATTCTATCCCAAAACATTTCTTAGCAAATTGTTTATCAGTTTTCTAAAAATCTGTAACCATCTCAATACTCACTTTAAAAAAAGAAGGCATGCATTTGCACCACGTGATCTGGAGGAGGAGCTTTAAAAAGTCACTAATACAACTCTGCAACCGTGTGAGATTTGAACAGTTAATGTTAAGAGGCCCATTTAACCAGAAGAATGAAATAAAGGTTTGTGTGGAGTTTTCTCCGCCGAGCCCCCACGCCTCTGCTGTCTCCTTCTGGTTAGCTCTAAGAACTGCTGCTGAGTCTTCTGCGCAACAGAGAGGCAGGCTTGCTGTCTGTGTCCTCAGCGTCACTCTCACACTGTCTCTGCAGAAAAGCACCAAAAGCAATGCTCACTTCCCATATCACTGCAGAAAACAGCACATACAAGCTACAGAGCATGAGACACGGGGCAGCAGATGAAGAAAGGTGGGGAGTGCTGACCTATGGGAATCCCAGCGAGGGACTAGTTTTTCTGTGCTGTCAGAGCAGTACACAGTACAGATAAAGCTTTATTCCTCAGGTCTTCTCTCACTTCACCGCCAAAAGCCTCATGAGGGCATCATGAGTGTGTCTGTGGTTGGCATCAGACATCAGTCTCACTATAACACTTCCACCTCCATGCCTCCCTCTGAACAGCTGTGAGCACACTGCGTATAAAGGACAGCTATGGCTCCAGCACCCAGTGGGACAGCCGGGGGGCTGTGCTGCCTCTGTACAGTCCTGACATAAAGGAGTCTGGATAACAACGCTAGCTGACGAGGCACAGAACAACAACAAACCACCAGCTGGCATGATGACCTCATGAAGCTGGTTAGGGTGCAGCCGGCGTTGTCCAAAGCCTACATCAAGCTACCCAGAGAGGAATCCAAGATATCCGACATATAGTCTCACCTGCAATGGATCTGGATCAGTCCTGCCCTTATTCAGCAGTCTCAAATTCACAAGCCGGTTACACATCCACACCATGTTGTAGGACATCTGGAAAGGGTGAGAAACATCCATCCATCTTACATGACATGGTATCAGCTCATGGCTTAAGCAGGTGGTTCAGTCACCAGTGCAGCTGGCCTGGATTCCAGCTGCCAAACCCTTATCTATTCATTCTATGATGAGAAGAGATGAGTGTTTGAAATCTACCTGTTGTGAGGATATTTTGGGTGACAGTTTTTCATCATTTAATCCTGAATTGATAAAAGTTTGTGTTGAGGTTGTACACTCTCACAGTAGTTCTTCCACTACCTTGACAATTAGTGGCAGAGAGAGAGGTCCATGGCTTATGGCTCCCATGATGCACCTCTCCCCCCTCTACTGCTAAAGGCCCAGACTGCTGGGGGCTCTTGAAATGTAACTAAGAGCTCCAAGTCTGTGTGTGTTTTGCTCAGTGTGTGAAAAAATGCCCATTGAACTGATGGTGAAGGCTTCCATTGATAAAAAAACCTTAAAACTAATTAACTTTAGCAAAGAGAACATTCCAAGTTTACTGGAACACACATCTTATCATGTTTCTGTGTGAGTGGCTGTATGTTATTCTGCTGTAATGCAGAATACGTGAAATGAATAAACGTGTCCTGATTGGCTTCTGGTGTTAAAAACAGCATATTCATTTGTTCTCAACTCTTTGGTCGTACTCTGTTGATATTAGTGCTGCCTCAAGACAGTGGAGATGGTTGTAGACCTCAGAAAGAACACAGCACCACCTGCTCCCATCACTCTGGGTGGCTCCACAATTGCTTCTGTGGAGTCCTTCTGTTTCCTGGGGATCACTATAACCCAGGACCTCAAGTGGGAGCTGAACATCAGCTCCCTCACAAAGAAAGCTCAGCAGAGGATGTTCTTCCTGCGGCAGCTGAAGAAGTTCAACCTGCCCAAGGCAATGATGGTGCACTTCTACACAGCCATCATTGAGTCCATCCTCACCTCCTCCATCTCCATCTGGTACGCTGCTGCCACCGCTAAGGACAAGGGCCGACTGCAGCGTATCATTCGCTCAGCCCAGAAGGTGTACGCCTCCAGGACTTTAAGGCGTGCAGGAAAGATCATGTCTGATCCTTCTCACCCTGGTCACAAACTCTTTGAAACCCTCCCCTCTGGCAGAAGGTTGAGGACCATCAGGACCAAAACCTCACGCCATAAAGACAGTTTCAATCCAGCAGCAACTGGCCTCATCAACAAGGCCAGCGACCCCCACCTATTCTCCCCCCCCACTCTACCTCACTAATTTACCCAATGCTTCAGCATTTTCTGGTCTGTCATTGCAGATCAACATTGCACATCTCAATTGTTCATTTGTACATTTGGATCTATAGTTTTTAAAGATTGTTCATTTGTAAAATCGGATCTATATCTTTAAAGATTGTATTTTTCAGTTTTATCATTTCTGTCCTATATTTTTATTTCTACATTTTATTTCTTGCTTCTCATAGAAGTGTTGTGCACCAAACACCAAGGCAAATTCCTTGTAAGTCTAAAAACCTACTTGGCAATAAACCTTATTCTGATTCTGATTCTGATTATTACTTTTCAATTATACAATTATATCATCTTTACTGTACAGACACACCTTCCATTTTCGTCTGGCGTTGAACTTCTTAAAGTTCTTCATATTGATTGAGGATCGATTCCTATTGGCTGCCTGTTTGCGTGTGATGGGCTGAAACAGAGGACATTTGCAGCAATCAGCAACTGACCGGAGGCATCACAGGAAGATTTTTAGAACCAGGATCAGTAGTCACCTTAATCCAAGGATGAAGGAGACACTCCTCAGCTGTCATCCTCTCACTGCAACACACACCAACATAAGGGCATGCCGATCAAACGGACCTGCAGCCCACCTCACCAAAGTCTCGCCCCCAAAAGGGCAGCGGAGACAGGGAGCTACTCAGCAGCTGCGTGATCGCCCCTCCTGTTGCTGCCAGATTTCTATTGTTAAACCAATCTCATCAAGTCACAAACCCCGTCCTGTCAATTTGAAAAGGACTGCCCTGGCACCAACAGTATGGGTGCTTGTGTTGCAGACGAGAGCAGTGCTTCATGAGCGAGTATGCCAGTTTGCTCTCAATCAGCATCTGAAAGTCAACCTTTATTTAAAAACATTCCTGTTAAAAATAACAGGCTGAGAGGAATCCCATTCTCCATTTATAGTCTGGATTCAAAGTGCTGACTTGGTTTTGTGAACCAAAATGTCATTGTGAAGCTGAACGTTTTACACAGGAAACTCACGAGTCCATACATTTCATTTGAGTGGACATTTTTAGGCGTATCTCTCTGAAGTTAATGGGAAAAGGACAGCCATGAGAAGGACTTTTACTCAACAACCCTGATTTGCTCGGGCTTTGCATTGAGTGGCTTCCCAAAACCATCTTTCCAGTAAGGACAATGCATTGTAGTTTGTCCGCTGAATATCTGCTTAAAACGCCCACAGCTAAAGGAGTATTTACTCAGAAAATGAATCCCCCCCTTAATTTCTGAGTAAAATACTCCTTTAGCTGTCCAACTTGAAAACTGTTGCTGTCTATAGAGTCTCAGTCATACATCTATAAGAGTAGCATATCCGTAGAGGACCTGTACTATCCAGCTAACACTTACAGTCAGGG